TGATTCTGGATGAAGTCTGTAAAACTCTGGATAAGTCTGGATAATGTCTGGAAAAGTCTGGAAATCTCTGGAAATGTCTGCAAAAGGCCTGGAAACTTCTTGAAAGGGTCGGAAAAAATCTGGAAAAGGTCCCAAAAGACCTGGGGATCATTTTCCAGATTCCGGATCAGTCTGTACAAGTCTGGAAAAATCTGGATGAAATCTGGAAAACTATGGAAAGCTCTGAATAAGTCTGGATAATGTCTGCGAAAGTCTGGAAATCTCTAGGACGAATTCAGGAATGACACACTCAATGTGAGTGACACCGGTGCGACGCACTAGCCGTTCATAAATGCTATAGGCACACCGAGTGCGCGCACTCTGTGCCGTTCAGAAAGTACTTCGGGCGCGCTCCAAGTGTCGCAGTGGTAACACCATAATTTTTTCGTGTGGCTGCGGTGTGATTGTGTCTTTATGTCCACAATGTCAACCATTCCTCCCATAATCTCAATAATCTCACCAAATATAAACAAAACACAAATAAGAAAAATTATTTTTCACTTTTCAGTTCAATTTACTATAAAAGCGTGTTTTTTAGTTTTTTCAAACTAAATATATTATTTTTTACTTTTTGGTTCAATTAATTATTTTAAAAAAATTGTAAGTTCTTGTGAACATGAACATGGCGCAGATTTTTTAATATAAATATTTTTTTATTTATGGAATTTACTATTGTGGTGTAAATCTCCAACTGAAAAAAACAATTTTTTTTTTTCGGCCGTGAAAGGGATTATAACCCACGATTGGTGAGTCTGGAAGTTGTCGTCAGCGAAGACCCGCGCCTTAGACCGTTCGGCCAACGAACGAACTTAAAGTAGAGGGATATACTTGAAAACCGCTTTTAAAATAATTTGATTTTGTCAACATTTGTTGCGTAGTTGTTTATACAACAGTAATAAGCCACTTGTTTTTAGTCCAAAGAAGAGTTACTTACAAACATACAAACAAATAACCAAACAAACATATATACAGGTGAAGCTAATAAAATCGTGTCAATTCCAGGCCTTTTCCAGACGTTTCCAGAGATTTGCACGCTTTTCTGACATTATCCAGGCTTATCCAGAGTTATCCAGAGCTTTCCAGACTTCATCCAGACTTATCTAGACTTCATCCAGACCTATCCAGACTTTATCCAGACTTGGTCAGACTGATCCGGATTCTGGAAAATGATCCCTAGGTCTTTTGGCATCTTTTCCAGAATTTTTCCGACCTTTTCAAGAATTTTCCAGACCTTGCCAGAGATTTCCAGACTTTTCCAGAAAATATCCAGAGTTTTACAGATTTCATCCAGATTTATCCAGCCCTTATCCAGACTTGTACAGATTGCTCCGAATTCTAGAATATGATCCCCAGGTCTTTTGGGACCTTTTCCAGAATTTTCCCGACCCCTTCAAGAAGTTTCTAGGCCTTTTCCAGGCCTTATCCAGACGTTTCCAGACATTATCCAGAGCTTTCCAAAGTTTTCTAGACTTCATCCAGATTTATCCAGACTTGTTCAGACTGTTCCGGATTCTATAAAATGATCCCCAGGTCTATTGGGACCCTTTCCAGAATTTTTTCGACCCTTTCCAGAAATTTCCAAGCCTTTTCTAGACGTTTCCAGAGATTTCCAGACTTTTCCAGACAATATCCAGACTTATCCAGAATTTTACAGACTTCATCCAGATTTATCCAGCCCTTATCCAGACTTGTACAGACTGCTCTGAATTCTAGAATATGATCCCCGGGTCTTTTGGGACTTTTTCCAAAAATTTTCCGACCCTTTCAAGAAGCATCCAGGCCTTTTTCAGACGTTTCCAGACTTTTCCAGACATTATCCAGAGCTTTCCAGAGTTTCTTAGGCTTCATCCAGATTTATCCAGACTTTATCCAGACTTGTTCAGACTGATCCGGACTCTAGAAAATGATCCCCAGGTCTATTGGGACCTTTTCCAGAATTTTTCCGACCCTTTCCAGAAATTTCCAAGTCTTTTCGAGACGTTTCCAGACATATACAGACTTTTACAGACAATATCCAAACTTATCCAGAGTTTTACAGACTTTATCCAGATTTATCCAGACTTGTACAGACTGATCCGGATTTTGGAAAATGATCCCCAGGTCTTTTGGGACCTTTGGCAGAATTTTTCCGACTCATTCCAGAAATTTCCAGGCTCTTTCCAGACTTTTCCAGGCTTTATCCAGATTTATCCAGACTTGTGCAGACTGCTCCAGACCTTATCCAGTCCTTTCCTGACCTCTCTCGACTTCTTCCAAACACTTTCCCGACTTGTTCCAGCTCACTTGGGTTGTTCCAGGTTCTTGTTCATAGACTTCCCAAAAGTCCAGCCTGACGATGACGTGATTTACAGTGACTGAACAGATGCGAAATACTACAGTAAACTGTAAACTTTATAAAAGATAGTGCGCCATCTCGTGGAATTGTGTGGTACTACGCCTCTTGCGTGCGATGACGTCACGCGCTCCTTTACAGTGAAATTCAAATTAGGAATTTCAATAATTTTTTTTTTTAGTAAGTGATAACTTTTGAACAAAATAAAAAAACACGGGTTTTCTAAAAATTGATGTAGATTAATATTACGCAATAAAAAAAAAAAACGCTTAAACACCGGATACTGATAACGTAAAAATCTTGACCCTATAAACACTGGCACATGCGTGACAATTCTAGCACAATAGCGAAGGTTAAAAACAACATGATACCTTTGGAGGTACATAACTTGAGACCCACTATCCTATTTCTCCGTTTTATTATGATTAACCTTGCTGAGACTACTATAACCTATGAAGAGAAAAATAATTTTGAAAGGTTGAATTTAGAGCACATGACATCATTGCCAAGAATATACTCGGTTAAAATTATTATCTGCCTATAATTTCTTTCCGTTCTTGCATATCCTTTTTTTATTTTTTATTGAATACATCTGGCGAAACATCTGGTAATTTTATTTTCTACTACTGCTCTAGAAAGCTATTGAAAACGCACTACCAACTTACCAAGAAAATCAATTAATTTGAACAGCGTGCCAAAAAAAGTAGTTTTTAGCTATTGTTGTACACAAATAGCAATTTTCTACATTTTTATTTTGCAAATTATGATAATTCTTTTTCCGCGTTTGCACAATAACAGTGTGTCCAAGATAAGGATAGGATAGCGTTAGAATCTGGAGAACGGTTGGAGTTACAATGTTGGTTAGATTAGGAAAAAGTTGCGTAACTTAACGCTCAATAAAATGGAACTTTGACATTTGAAAAATTCCGAACACTTTCGGAGATATCCGGAAAATACCGTAATTTTGCAATATCGGATTTTATTTTTTGCTGAGCTTATTTGAGGAGATATTTCAAAATAAATGTCACTTCACCGTACCAACTTTATCTAAAATGAAGTTGATGATGGTGGTCCAAAAAAGACGAAACGTCAGATTTTAAATTTGATGGTAGCATCTTGTAGAGTAGGAAAGGTAGCAATGAGGAAGTGAAATTTATTTTGAAATATCCCCTCTAATAAGCTCAGGAAAAAATAAAATCTATTTTGCAAAATTTCGGTTTTTTTCAGATATCTCCGAAAGTGTTTGAAATTTCTCAAATGTCAAAGTACCATTTTATTTAGCGTTAAATTGCGCAAATTTTCCCTAATTTAACCAACATTGTAACTCCAACTGTTCCCCAGATTCTAATGATATCCCATCCTTATCTTGGACACACTATTCAATATCGTAATCTACAATTTTTTGCTATTTCTCCATCATACTCGAGAAAGTGCTTTAATTATCTTGTGCTTTTCTATGTGTGCTTTGATAAGTACTTTGTTTCTACTGCTAGAATTTTCAATTAGCAAATTGGATTTTGTTTGCAGTTCGTGGTCTATTTTTTAACTTAAGTCAATCTGGTCATTTTTTTCTTTATTTTTAAGATACCTATTTTAGATTTATAGCTAAGGCCTCATCTACTTCTTTTTCAAAGATATTACTTCCACTGCTTTTCCTTAGGTAAAGGAAAAAATTCCAAGGTGGTTTCTTTTTTTTCTTTTCTCTGCAGCCTAATTAGTAAGGACGTGCCTTTATAAAACTAAGGGATAATCTATTCTGAAACAACTGAACAAGTAGGTATACCTAACGGGTCTTCAAAAAAAAAACAATCACAGAGTGCTTTGATTACGAAAACGTATGTCGCATTATTGTTTGTTTATTGGTCAGGATTATTGAATAACGAGTCTTAAAAAAAACAATCAAAGATTGCTATGGTTTTTTAAATGTATGTCTTAGCAATATTTTTATTCAATTTTGTCAATGAACTTTATTGTCAAAATGTCATGTCAAAAATCCTGACCAATAAAGAAACAATAATAGACCATCAGCTAATGACAAATTTTGCTGACCGATTTTCTTTCTTCGGGGATTCCAACCACTGAAAATTATGTCAGTGCTGAGCTCAAAAAATGAAAATTTAGCGACCGATTTTCCTTTTTCGGAAAAAAATAGGTGTTATAGAACAATCTAATAATGTCGCTAAATTTCCATTTTTTGAGCTCAGGAGTGACAAAATTTTCAGTGGTTGAAATCCCCGAAGAGAGAAAATCGGTCAGCAAAATCTGTCATTAGCTGACGGTCTATAATGCGAACGTACGTTTTCATAATCAAAGCAATCTTCGATTTTTTGTTTGTTTTTTGAAGACCCGAATATTTTACTCATTTGGGGTAACAACTTGATGCTTCATCCGTATAAATTGCATGATTTGGAAAGGATTTTAATAATTATCTATTGGGTAATAATATCAGCAACCAAAACATCTCGATATTCTTGCGACGTTTTATCAATTTCTTTACATCATACCTCAATTTTTTCATAGATTTGAGTGCATAGTTGGTCATACTCTAGATAATTTTGCATTGAAATTGTAAAATGTATGGATATTGTTTCCGATAGAAAATAAAAGTTTATTTCTATTAGGTACCTACCTTCTGCTGGATTCATTACGCCATCGTGTAAAAGTGTTGATAAACAACCAGCAGCACCTGGAAGAAGAAAATATAATTATTAATGTTAAGTTGATTATTATCTTTTATTTTTAATAAAATTTTAATAGACATACATAATGTGAAAAATGGGCATTCAAGGCATTCAAGGGGTAATAGTATATTTCCTAACTAGTGCGGAAAGTGCTACTTTTCCGCGCGCGATTGCAGTGCGGAAAAGAGACTTTCCGCACTAGTTAGGAACACTATTTTTTCTACGAGATAGAAAGGCACGTACCTACCTACGTGATGTAAATTCGTCGTTAACAAAACGAAGAGGCGTATCTCAAAATTTCAAGTTTTGAGTAATTCCAATGTAAAGATTTTTATTATCTTTAATCTGGGTTTGTTTAACTTTGCAAATTGCTTAAAAAATACTGATAACATAAAATATTGCATCAATGCCAATATATAAAGTAGAGTCAAGTCTCATTATTTCTGGTTTTAGCAAAAGGGTTAAAATTGCCCTTAGAAGAGATACGCCCTTTCGCCTTATTTTGAAATAAGTTTTCTAAGACATATGAACTTAATTACGCCTTTTGTTGAAATACCTTTATTATATTGAGGAAGAAAGTACTTCGACATCAGCATTGATTCGAATAATTTTATAAGCAGCAACAAACACAAATAAGAAAAAATAGTGTTTATTTAAAATAAAAAAAACAAATGCCTTCAAGTTATAGTATTAAAAACTAAAAACTAAAACCAATGGTATCTACATAAGTTAGTAGTGTGAGATGAAAGCCAATAAACAATTATTCTTAGGGCCGGTTTATTCACCTTCCTTCAGGTATGCAATTTGACGGATAAAAACGCAATCTGTAATCCTATTGGTCAATGGTCAGCCAGTTATCCGCCGACCAATAGAATTATAAAACGGTAAATTTATCTAGGTGATAGTTACCAGCAAGTTTGTCTGAAGATGAATAAACCGGGCCTTATTCTACTAAATTCGCAAAAAATGAAACAAACCAATCTGACATTAACTTTTAAGAGAATAATCACTCATTACATACTAATACAAAGTCCTTAGTGTGGCAACTGCTGGTAGAAAGAAACATGTTTTGGTTGTTTAATGATAGGAGTTGTTCCACTACACAGTGCCATAAGGTCATTGTATTTCTTTATTGATATTTTGGGTAAATCGAGATTGAGGCAAGCTGGAGCTGAAACTCTGTAACGAAAAGATATATTTTCTCTATCTCTATCGACGTCCCCTCTGTATTGATTTCGGAAAGAGAGAAGAAGACAGCAAATGCCATAGCGACAGGGATAACGATCTCTATCCGTTAAAAAAGTTCCAGCCCTGATGGTAGTTTTTTTGTAGATGACTATTTTTAAAATAAATCTTATCGTTGCTACTTTTCTGTACCATGACCTCACGTATTTGGTTGCAAAAATCAAAATTTTTGACAATAAATATTAAAATATAATTTTTTTTTTAGGAAAAAATAAACTTATACTTAACGATATACCTACGCACATGACCCGTATAGGGCGTAACTTATTCGTTCATATAGTGTAATACAGCGAACAGGCGTAAGTCCAGTTACGCCTATTGGTCGTATTTTGTGATTACAAATTTGAGTTACGCCCGTCATCTATCTCGTAATAATGTAGCAATAAAGATACGCCACTTTCTCATATGAAAATATACTTATAAATAGCGACTATCATGGGCCTAACTCAAATCCGAGAATTTTTGAGATAAGCCCCTTCGTCATGTTAGCGACGAATTTTAACACCAATATTTGACAACATTTCTTTTGCAACACCTGATAATAAAAATAAATCGAGTAATTTTTTCTTTACATAAGTTAGGTATTCTTAAGTACAAATAAAACTTATTTTTTTATTGATAAAAAAAAATAATTCTGAAATAATTGGCCTTATTCTGAAGACAATAAAATCGAGAACTTTTAACAATTTGTACGTTTGATGTATCTACTATGGAATTTCCTAATTTTTCAAGCATAAAGTAGCGTATAGTAACTTGACAAGAAAAGTTAAGTTTAAACCGAAATAATTCAATAAATAACATTATTGTTTCAATAATTCTCAATGGTGATATTTGTGTAAGTGTGTCAGCTTATATTTTAAAAAGTGACACCTGTCACTTTTCCGCACTAGTTCGGAAAACACTTTTTTCCACACTAGTGCGGAAAAGTGAAACTTTCCAAACTAAAATGCGTGCAGAAAAGTGCACTTTTCCGCACGCTCGTAGAAAAAATATTTTAAATTAGGAGCCAGTTTGAGGATATGGAAAAACAGATACCTTATATAGGATTTACTTATTTAATATTTTTTTATATTATAGTCAACTAACAGTGATTTGGAAATAAGATTATCTTATCACATCTACAATAATTTATTGTAAATAAAAACTTATCATTCTATTAAAGTTAGGAACATTCATTTACATGAAAATATTACATTTGTTTCATTATAACTTAGCAAAAATATTCCTTGAAGTGGTTAAAATGATAAAATTACCTCCTGATTATTCCTAGCAATAATATTTACATTGAACTACTAAGGTGACTTGCCATAACAATGGAAGATATAAAACCACACTTCATAAATAATTTATTGTCATCACACAGAAGGCTTCAAAAAGAGCACATTTCTTAATGAAATATTAATTTTTTTGCAGGTGTTATTATTTTCTTCCGATATCGATAATATCGACCGATATTTTTTGTTTGATTGAAGTCTTCAATATTTTTAAGGTATCATCATTGGAAAAAAAAATTTGAAATGTAAAGAGGATCGTATGTCTGTGATAGCAGATATAGCTCATCAAAGTACGTAGGCCCTGCTATGCTATGCATAGGAAATATCCGAGGAAATATCCCTGGGTAGATTTTCTTGAATATCTCGAAAAATAGTAATCCGATTTTGACCTTTTTGGAGTTTGATACCTACAAAAAGATCCCAAAAACTTTAAAATCGGATCAGTATTTTTCGAGATATTCAAGAAAATCTACGTAGGCATATTTCCTCGGATATTTTCTATGCATAGCATAGCAGGACCTATGTACAGGGTGGCCCGTTTAAGAGGGGCCTATACCTTATCTCGAAATTTACAAGGGCTGTGAAAAAAATGTAAATACAAAAGTTGTTTCTAATAAAATTATCTACAACTTTTTTGTATTGTTTTTGTTGTCACTTTACTATATACAGGGTGGACAAATTAAATTTCATTTTTTTAAATAGAACACCCTATATCTCAATACATTTTTAAATAGACCTTTGAAAGACAAATTCAACGATATACTGGTCATGTGTCTGTGATAACCCGTTTCGAACTTATTAGCGATTATCTTCATGATTTGGGGTAATTTTCAACAGTCATTGTTACGTGACTCATAAACTTTTAAAACTTTTTTTTGCATGATATTTTCTATAAAATAATGCTCTTCTTTAGACTATATTCAAATTTGAAATATTTGCTTTAAAAACGAAATATATTATAGAAAATATCATGCAGAAAAAAGTTTAAAAAGTTTATGAGTAACGTAACAATGACTGTTGAAAATTACGCCAAATCCTGAAGATAGTTGCTAATAAGTTCGAAACAGTATATCACAGACACATGACCAGTATACCGTTGAATTTGTCTTTCAAAGAGCTATTTAAAAATGTATTAAAATATAGGGTGTTCCGTTTAAAAAAATGCAATTTCATTTGTTCACCCTGTATATAGTAAAGTGACACCAAAAATAATACAAAAAAGTTGTAGATAATTTTATTAGAATTAACTTTTGTATTTAAATTTTTTTTACAACCCTTTTAGATTTCGAGATAAGGTATAGGCCCCTCTTAAACGGGCCACCCTGTACTTTGATGAGCTATATCTGTTATAACAGACATACGATCCTCTTTACATTTCAAATTTTTTCTTGCAATGATGATACCTTTAAAATATTGGAATTTGCTTGAAATTTACGGGGGCCTATTTTCAATGTTAATGGTGCCCCCTTTGTTTCAGATTTTCAGTGAAATCCTTAAAATCATTTTTACCTTAAAAAACCTACCTACCTAGACTTATAGTCCAACTCGGTTATGCTACGCACATCATTTAGTTTGTGGAATCAATGAAATCATGGCCATGTTATAAATTTTGAGACCGAATATTGAATTTGGTATATTTTTTATAGATAATGATGAATATGTTCGAAATGAGAACATCAGACCGATGTTATGAAAGATCAATGAAATTGCTTTTTCATGGGCTATTTACAAGGGGCAAATCACCTAGGAATTTTTTGCCAAAAATGTAGGGAATTTAGAGGAATTTGTGGGAAATTTGAAGGAACTCATCGGAATTTATGAGAATTTGGGGAATTTATAGGGAATTCGGAAAAATGTATGGGAAATTTGAAACACTAATAAATGGAAATTTTGAAAAAAAATCTAGTTTTTTGTTGAACGTTGGACATTCATTTTCATTGAAGAAATTCTCCCAAAATTTCACTTCATAATTTACAGGTCCAAATTTAAAAAATTGAAAACAATAATGAGTACAGTTTTTGTAGGCTGATTCCCAAGATTCTCCATGTTGTTATTTTCCACTGGGAAAATTTGAAATTTTGGGAAAATTAGTTTCTAACCTTCCAATTCCCATGTAAAAAGTTTCAAATTTTTCCGTTCACTAGTTTTCCAGGAAAACTTTGAAACGTGTAAGTATTTTCAATTAATTCAGTTATTGGAGGTTGATTTCCAAGATTATTCATGTTGTTATTTTCCAATGGAAAAATTTGAAATTTTGGGAAAATGAGCCTCTGACCAGTGACTCTGACCGAGCCTCTAACCTACCTCTTCACATGTAAAAAGTTTTAAAATTTTCCCTCAATTAGTTTTTCAGGAAAACTTTGAATTGTGTGAGGCCGTATTAACAATTATTTCAGTTTTTGTAAGTTGGTTTCCAAGATTTTTCATGTTGTTATTTTCCACTAGAAAAATTTAAAATTTTTGGAAAATAAGCTTTTTCCCTTCCT